TGGATGTGAATATTATTGAATATTTTATGAATATTGGTAGCAACATGTATATATTCCGATTGGGGCTCAAAAAGCAATAAATTTTTTTTTCAAATTACATTCATTAGTGACGGAAAGGTCCGTCGCTAATGAGCATTCGCGACGAGGAATTTCGTCGCCAATGTACACATTGGCGACGACGGCACCCATCGCCAATAAACATTAGCGACGGATTATGTCCTTCGCTAATGCTCATTAGCGACGGACATAATCCATCGCTGATGCATTTTGGAGACGGCGGAGGACCCTGGTGACAGCGGAGGACCCGTCACCATTGTTATCCGTCGCTAATGCCTCTCCGTCACCAATGAGCATTGGTGATGGATGTCCCCGTTGCCAATGTGCATTGGCGAAGGGACTCTTGGCGACGGACAATTAGGCGTCACGGATGTTTACTCATGACAGATATGACTGCATTGGCGACAGATTTCCCCATCACCAATGCTCTGTTTTCTACCACTGATATGTTTTTTAGATTTCTTTACGAACTAAAATAAGTAAAGAATTTGAATTTTATAAAAATATCTATTTTATCCAATAACATGTTAAGTCTCATTATGAATAGAATAAATTATTTAGTTACCAATTCAAGGAAGATATGATAATTAGAATAGATTAGGATAATAATGTAATATTAAAAAAAAAACTAAGAGTAATATTGACTATAGAAAGATTTTTCCGAACTCGTACTTCTAAAGGGAGTGTGACCGGAATATATATATATACTATTATATAATAATATATTATTATAGTATATATATATATATAATATATATAATATATATAATATATATATATATATAATATATATATATATAATATATATTATATATAATATATATATATATATATTATATATATATATATATATATATATATATATATAACATAGATGGAAGCGGCATAAAAAAATAAACCAATTTCTATACATTGTAGCGGAAATTATCAAATAATCAGCTTTCAAAAATAATCTGCCAAATATGATATACTTTGAATGTATATATTTTAAAATTTCTTCCATTTTTCCCTCTTTATCGCAGATCCTAATTGGTGTAAATGCTAGAGTGTTTCATTGAGGGTGGGGGGGAATATATCATCGCATACGTCACTGTGAGGTCTAATCCCTATATGCTCAGCCTTCTGGACCTAGTCTTGTTGGTCTTGCCGTTGTTGAGCGGTCCTCCATTGCTCAAGCTAGATCCAGCACTTGCAAAGCACAATCACTGTCTCGCTAGCCCATTTTCTACGCAACATGTTTCCAAACAAAACAAAACAGAATCATGGTCAAGCTCAAACCTGCGTGGGCACCAAAATTCCTATTCTCATTGGGTCATTGCAGTCAGCCACACACAAAGTTGCAATGTAAAAAATTCAACCCCATCCCATAAACAAAACCCCACGAAGTAATTTTTAATTGGGTAAATTAACAAACCAGCAAGAACTTTCAGCGATTTACGGTAAAACCCCAATAACTTTCAAAATCATTAAACCTCTAAGAACTTTCAACGTTTTGTAGTAAACCCCAAATAACTTTCAAAAGCACACTAAATGTTTGGGGCCGACACGCCCTACTCGCCGCGGAAGAGAATCACCTTGAGAGAAAGCCCTGACTTTTGTTTTTCACAAAACTCAAGCCAACCTCGATGTTCCTATTTTGATATGAAACAAGAACATAAGTGAAATATCTTAACTCTTTCCAATATCAGATCTAGATCTGAATATCGAGGGAACGACAAGCAATGACAAATACAAAGTAAACAATAAAGAAGACATGAGATTTATGTGGTTCGGCAAACTTGCCTACTTCCATAAGGAGGGGTGAAGGGAGATTCCACTATGATGGAGAACACCGATGACTTGTATAACCCACAAGCTCATCCCAAAGATGAAGCTTTGATTTTTACCCAAGAGAAGATGACTTCTTTCTTGTAAAATTTCTCCAAGCACTCAATCTTTTCTCTCCTCAAGATCTCACCTTTTTAGATTTGAAAAAAACTCTCTGTTTTACAGTCGGCAAAACACCCTTTTTCACCTACACAACCCTAGGAACGAAGTTCCTATTTATATCTAGAAACCAAGGTCCAAAAAATGATCTGGAAAAGATCCGCATCGATCTAGAAAACCCGCTCCGAGACACCCTTTCGTGTCTCGTTGTGTCTGCACGTCGCACCGGCGAGACACCCTTTAGTGTCTCACGGTGTCTACGCGCTGCTATTCATAATTCACCACCTCGTACATCATTTGATAAACCTTAAATTTTGGACGAACACAAAAAAAATGCTGCGAGCATCACAAGAGAATTCTGAAACACCAAACCAGCTGCACCATTATACCATGGCTGCCTACGTACCCTCTGACTGGGATCAAGCTAATCGTAGTTCTGCACATTGTTCTCCATATAGTCTCCACATCACCCCATCACCGCCCCGAAGGGCCATGACCTCTTGGGCAGATCAACACGGGCTGATATGAAGCAAGTCTAAGTAATGCTAAAACTTGCTACCTGTCACAACTTTGGTCAACATGTCCATGAGATTCTCATTTGTGTGCACCTTCATGAGAGAAATATCACCTTCCTCTATGACATCCCGTACAAAATGATATCTGACGTCGATATGCTTGGTACGAGCATGATGAACTTGATTCTTAGCCGATGAACTTGATTCTTAGCCAATGAATCGCACTCTAGCTATCACACCACAAGTTCACATACTCCTGCTCAATCCCCAAATTATCTAGAAGACCCCATAACCGTAATGCTTCCTTCACTCCCTGCCATGGCCATGTACTCTACATCTGTTGTAAAAAGTATCACTGTAGTCTGTAACATTGATCTCCAACTAACTGCCATGTATTCTGAACACATAACTAATAGTAGATCCTCGTCTGTCTAGATCGCCCGCATAGCCTGAGTCTACAAACCCATCAATCTGACACGTATCTCCACCAAAGCATAGACCTGTATCTGTAGTACCCTTCAAGTACCTCAAGACCCATTTCACTGCTTCCCAATGTGTCTTTCCCGGATTCACCATGAACCTACTGATAACACTGGCCATTTGTGAAATATCTGGACATGTACACACTATTGCGTACATCAAACCGCCGACTGCGCTAGCATAAGGTATACGCTTCATGTGTGCTTTTTTTTCTGCTGTAGTGGGAGATTGTTTACTTGAGAGTCTGAAATGTAGAGCTAATGGAGTCACCACTAGCTTAGCACTTTGCATCCCAAACCTTACGATAACCCGCTCAATGTAGCCCTTCTGACTCAATAAAGACCGTAAAATGTTTCTGACCTTAAATTAATGAGAGCGTAGGCCCCTGAGCCACTAGCCCAGTCGCTTGCTATATTGCCTTTGCCTAATACCCATCCCTCACCCACCCTCTTCCTCCCCTGTGGACTTAAATTTTCAAAACGTGCTTTAGATAGAAAAAGAGTAGATGAAAAGAGATGAGAGAGAGAGAGGGGGAGAGAGAGAGAGAGAGAGAGACTAATTTCTTGTTTAAAAAGAAGAGAGAGAGAGAAAACCTTGGTCTTTTTCCAAATTAGGTCGTCATTGAAATTGCTATTAGGTCACTTATTAAATATTATTAATTGTTGCAAATTAGTCCCTCTAGTTTGCTAGCGTTTGAGTTGAGGGAAAATTCATTTTATGTTAGTTTTTTGACATGAAAAGAAAATATTATCTTTATGTTTACCATCCTTGTTTTGAAGGAACCATTTTACACTCCGGACTTGTTAAACTCCATATACATTAAAACAATTCCCTCAATACAGTCTGCTCTTTCTCATAACCCATTCTATAACTGCTCTCCTCTTTCCATCTAACATGTACGTACTCAATGAGGGTAAAATGGTAACAAAATATTCACTTTTGGTTTCTAACCTAAATAAGACTAGCACATTCTCATCACCCAATGAGATGTCCGGGAATAAGCATATTCTAATTTAAGTGGGAATAAAAGAAATTACACAGTTTTCAAATATGCACATTACCACTCCATTCTCTAATTGCACAAATACTTGAGAATGAAAATGAGCATTCTATCCTCAATTAATTTGATTCCATTCATTGTTTCATTACATTCTCAATTAAAATTTACTCATTTTCTCACCGGATCCATATATCTGATTGGTAGATAAAACAAAAATATTCTGAGGAGAAAAATCTCATTTGGCACAGAGAGAAAGAGTGTGTGCACGCACGTTCGCCTCGAAGACGAGAAATGACTAAATTGCATATTTTTCACTTAAGCAAATTTTTATTGTTTGCTAGTTACATATAGAGTGTTTCAGTGAGGAAAGTATAAAGTTTAGGGATGAGCAAATAGTTGGCTCGCTCGATTTTGATGAATTTTCTCAAAACCGAATCGAATCATTCTAGATTTGAAACCGAATTGAACTCACCAAAATTGGTTCAACCGCTTCGGTTCGGTCTATTCAGTTTACATTTTGGCACATTTGGTTAAGAAATATGTTTTCTTTGACCAAGAAATATGCGAATCAATAAATAAATGACATTGTAATGTGAATTAAGGAATCAATAAAAAATCAATACAAAATCAATTGAAACAATAAAAAATTTAAGAAAAAAGATAATAAAACTTATGGAGTAATGACAGCAATGGAAGTCTATGTTTTTGGCAATTGAGAGAATGGTCGGTTCAATTTGTTTGGATTGAAATTTTCTCAAACAGAACCAGCCAAACTATATTCTAAAAGATCGAACTGAACCGTCAAACGTTAGTTGGTTTCGTCAGTTTAATCAAGCTCAAACCAATTAATGTTCACCCCTAATGACGTTCATTGGGTTATGCGATATACAAAGTTTGTAAAAACCCCGAAGTTGGAGTGGGTGCTTGAAAACAACTTGAAAGACTTTTAGGTGCCAGCACGAATTTCAAAATATTTAATAGTATGGGGCTATGACGAAAATAACCAAAAACCTTACCATAGCTCTATTTTAATTTCTCCATTCATTACCCCCTTCTTCTTCCTCTACTTCTTCTCCATCACCTCATCATGTCGGCGTGCAAACTGCTCTCTCTTTCTCTCCCCTTCTCTCTGCTTTGATGACTCGTTGCCATGATTTTTTTTTCCTGAGGGAACCCGTCCCTTTTCTTTTGTGATTGCCCAAAATAGTATATGCCCATGAAAAACCCAGTTCTATTCCCTTGATTTTTGTACTAATCCTTGCATATTTGGTGGTTTTTTTTGTACCCATTAGGATTTTGGGTGAGATTCCATCTCTTAGTTTGAAGATTTCTCTGCGGAAGCTCTGGTTTCCTGCAAAATCCAATTACAGTTCCCTGGGCTATGTTTAGAAAACCCTGAAAAAAGTTTTGAGTTTTTTCATTTTTTGTTTGCCCATTTGGTTTCCAACTCATAAGAGAGGGGCTTGGGAGAGAGACCCATCTCTCTTTGAGGGGTTCTGGGCAAAACCCAGCTTCCATTTTGCCTGCCGGATTTTCTGTTGAAAGCCCTATCAAACCTTGTGATGTTGAGGGCATTTGGTTGTCTGTAGGTTTTATTTGAGTTGGGTTTCTAAGGGTTCTATTTTTTTTGGAACTCATCAACATGTCAGAAAACTTGCCTGATTTTGTGGAGTGGAGGGAGCAATACATAAATCAAGAGAGAGGGAGCCGTTTGGTTCATTACTACCTTGAGGACTCCTCAGGGGAGTCCTATCTTGCTGTTGTTGGAACTGAGAGGAGCCTGAGACACATGCTTTATGTGGCTTCGGAGGAGTTCTCCCAGGCCTACGGCCTCGATAAGTCTGGGGTTTTGCCCCTTAAGTGGAGATCGAGGAGAGAGGTCATTGATTGGCTCACTTCGTTTATTCCGGGGAGGATGAGCTCCCGAAATTATTTCAGTAATTTCTTGCTCTTAATCTTGTTTGGACTATTTAGATTTTCTAAGTGAAATTGCACTTTTTGTATTAAAGTGCGCTTTGCATCTGTTTTCCCTGAATAGTTGCAGATTTACGTAGCAGAATTAATGGCATGGGAAATATTAAGAATATTTTCTTTGACTTTAGTTATAGCACTTTCATGTGAAAATTTATTAATAACCACTTAATGTCAAAAGTAGTTGTGTTTATCAGGTTTCACTGGCACATATAATTTGCTTCTAGTCTTAAGAGCCTCTAGTGATCTCCACAATGATTGAACTGTGAATCACTTAGTTTGATGTTTATTTGGTAAGTTTACATCTCTACTCACACCCGTTCGTTGAAGATTTATGTGAGTTTCGAGGTATTGCAATTGATTCTGTGTCATACATCCATCACCAGAATATTGACCTGATAGCTATGCCATATCATTAACTGGGATATGGTTAATCTACGTTCGCCACATATAGGCTTCACTGATCTCACAATTGAGTTGGTTTCTAACATTTGGGCAAGTTATTGTGTGGAAATCTTTTCTACTTCCTTTGTTCTTCATTGGAAGTGTCTGGCTTTCCTTGTTATATTGAAGATGGGAACTACCTTTCCACTTAAGGACGTACTTCTCTCCATTTTCCGATCCTTATAGTACCACCTAGTTAGGGCCATTATGCATCTCTCTTGTTATTCAAGAGCATTTCGAGGTGTTTGGCTATGTGAAACTTGATTCAGTGGTATTTAGAGTGCTTATTGAGCCTTTTAAATTCCAAGAGGCAAGGCAACACTGAAAGTTGGAGCACTGTGGTGACTTTTCATTTGTAGTTATTTTACACTACAGCCCCATGAACTTTCAACATTTTATAGTAAACCCTAATAGCTTTCAAAATCGCGCTAAACTCCCAACAACTTTTGCAGAAAACCCACAATCTCTTTTGGGTAAGTTACATTAAACCCCTAATAACTTTCAAAATGTCTTTTTATATTGTTTTTTGGATTTATGGGAGTTATTTGAAAAATGCAGTAACTTACTGGGGATTTTTTTGCAAAACACAAAAGTTATTAGGGAGTTTAGCATGATTTTGAAAGTTATTAGGGGTTAATTGCAAAATGCTAAAACTTCCTGGGGGTTTAGTGTAGTTTTCCCTATTTTATATTCGTTATTTTGTTATTTGTTTTTTTGTTGTCGAGTTGGTTGTTTGGCTTACCTTGTGCCTTAAGTGTTAATGCAATTTGTTATAAGAACTTTTGATGGTTCTTTGTCTTCTTTGCCAGAGTTATTTATGTTGGGGATTAATGGATCCTACAACATCCACACACAATAAGGAGTTCGAACAACAAAACAACACAACATATTTTTTATGTGGATCATAAAAGTCAAGAACTTGGGATGCTAAGCGAACCACGACCTAGGTTCAATCCTCCCATATTCGCGTGTAATACGACTTGATTCACCAACTTCAGCGACTGGATTTAAAATTCAAACCAGTTAAAAGAACTCTTTTTAAAAAGAATAAACAACAAAGAACACGAGAAAGTTAAGTGAGTAAAGTATGCATACCTTATTGTAACATGATTCTGAAGGTTCTTTTACCATTACTGATATTTACTAGCATATTTCTTAAGTTTGATTCTTGTAAAGCCTTTAATTTCTACATTTAAGAACCAAACCTAAAGCATACCATCTACCCTAGCGTACCTTATAAGCCTGCCCTCCTCGTATCTCCTCGTATCTGATTCCTAGTAAGTGGCGTATCACGCTCCTATACCGTCCTGTGAACCGGAACGAACCGGATTCTATGCAACTATTAGCCAAACACACCTATCTCCATGGTCTTTCACAAAGAAAATTCACTATCTTCACAAACCAATAAATACAAGTTTTGCATGGATGAAATTTGAATCTCATATCCCTCAAAGAACAACGATTACTCAAGAACTACAAGAGGATATTCTTTCTGCATAAGAAGATAGCTTCCTAACACTAGCACACACCCTTTTATAATTTATAGCCTTCATCCTTTGCTATTTCCAAGGGCAAATCAATGTGCATTATTACTCTTGGGAAATTCCTAGAGCAACCTTCAAATGTCCACTTGTTGCATTCTCCAACGTTGACCAGCCCTTCTACTATCTTCACTAGTCAACACCATATATTCTTTCTCAATTTTGAGATTTGTGGAGAACGTACCAATTTATGGTCTAGGGAATTTTTGGATTTCGCTCCTAGGTTGCATCATCAATTTGTCATAGATTATTTGATCCAGCCTGCTTTTAAGCTTTATGGTAGGCGGTCTAATGCCCACAACTGCCTTGTTCAATTTGGTTAATCTTCCTTTGATCCTGCTCAATTAATTCTTGATCAACCCCATTATGGGCCTATTTTCCTCAAAGAGGTTATGTGATGATGATGCATAGGTTCTTGGACACTGCTTCTGGTTGCCTTAGGCATATTTTTCTTCTTTCACTTTTTAGCAGGCTTTGAATTGAGTTAAATTTAATTTTAAAAAGTGGCCTTTTCAAGTCTTTGTTGTTCTATATTGAACTTTGAACTTGTTCAAATTTTTGGCTGTGAAAACATTAAACCTCAATTGATACCACTATTTTCTAATTACTGATGACATTTCATAGTAATTCATACTTAATTTGGCAGTGTTGCCTTCTTCTTGATTTGACATGAGAATGTTGTTTCTTTCTCAAATTTTCTTTTTCCTTGCATTAAATTTTATCATCAGCATAGGTTTTCTTCTTGAAGGACATCAATTGAAGTGATGCCAGGTCTTTCTGCACATATATGAAGTAATATTGTAAGGAAACTGGATAATATAAATATTGAAAGAAATATAGACAATTTGAAACATTGTTTTTATATTGTGGAGCTGTAGCAGAAGTCTTAGGAGGCTTCTGAGGCAAAGGAGGAAGGAAAATATAGTCGTAGAAGGGAGTGAGCAACAGTTACCAGCTGCATGGCCCTTAACATCTTAGGAAAGAAGAAAGTTATTGATACTTTATAGGAGAAATCTGTGAGCAGATGGATAAACACCATAATATGCTTTTAGTTAGATTTTCGTATATAGAGATGCAGGAGATTGGCTATTAGCCTAAGTAGCTATTATACAGATTGTTAGTTTTTTGTGAAAGTTGCGCCTCTTTTGGTCTAACTCGAGTAAACTATGTTTTACTCAAGGCAGTGTATGGGTAACTCTTCATGCTCTAACAGAATGTTTAAAGCAATTACATTTTGGGGTTTCAATAAAACAACAAATAACAAAGGAGACATTGAATGCCGTTTCCTAGCCTCTCGAAAGGGACCCTCTGTGCTTATCAACTTGTACCTGAGTAAGACACCGCCAACCGACTCCTATTTTGGGGCAATCACTTTGTCTATGTTTTTTTTGAATAATTAATGCTTTAGAAACCCATTTGGTTGCAAAAAGTTGCATCCAAGACTCAGTCTGATAGCTCCTTACCCCGTGAAGAAACAACAGGCACCAGAGGTGTCAGACACTATCTTGGGTGCTCAGTATGGGTGTTCGAGGTGGGGGTTTGAGCATTATTCTTCTTCCCTCTTCACATTCTTATTTCACAATTTCTAAGGGTGTGTTTGACAACTTCAAAATAGAATTGAGCCAGCCTAGTTTTATCTTAACTAGATCAAAGTTGAACAATTAAGGGTTGGTCCACAAAAGAACTAGTTTAGGAGCTATATTTTGAACTAGAAAGAATTAGTTCAATTTGGGTCCAACTTTTACCAAACTAATAACAAGGTATTGAACCAAGGTTATATACCACCTAAAACTAGTTTGGTGATGCTTGCATGAGTGTCTTTTTCTTTCCGCTAATTGCCGGCATCGGTGTCAATAGTTCTAATGAACGCTCAATTGATTTCGAATTGGGCACTTGCTACTCACAAGCTTAGGATTTTGATTTTTTTATCACATGATATTCATGCATATCACCATTGTTTTAAAATATCCTAAATATAGGCTAATATATCAGCTAATATACCCTTTTATAAGGCTTGCAACAAAACAATATGGTCTTAATACCCTTTATACCTTTTTGACAAGTTTTTGGCAATATATCCTCGACGAGTTCGATATATCAACCATATCCTTTTATATAACTTGTTGCAAAACAATATAGTTTTGCAAAATTTCTTTAAGGTTTTTAGTAAAAATTGCATCCTTATGAAGTTATTTTGGCAAAATTGTAATTTGCTTCTTTTCCTAAGTAAGTTTCTACAATTGGTTAGAGATTCTAAACAAATTATTTACATTTTATATTCTTAAGTTAATTTAGATTATGTTTTGTGATATTATATTAAATTTGAACATCATTTGATATGTCACTCCGATATTTACTACATATCCCTGGTATTTTCCCAACATCTGCAATTTGATATCGATTTTGCCTGTTTGATATATCCCCTATATTCAATATATAAACCTTGCATGTCACTGACAAGTTACAACCAGCTGACTTGTTTAATGCGCATCAATATCCGTTTTATGTTGTATTTAAGCTGCTATTTAACAATGTTTTTCTTCACCTACTTTCCTTTTTAGCCTATGTTGCATGGGTTCTTCTATCTAGAAGCCGTATCTGTAACAAACACGTCCCTTACCCGACACTTACTAAACACTTTTAAAGTATAGGAATACATTTATTGAGATTGTACTCAATTATACAATACCTGTTTTAATTTTTTTAAAACACTCATCGTACACTTCTTGGACATATTTTCTACACTTGACAACCAGTTTTAAAACTTATGGGACTAAGATCGGTTTTGTTTCAGCCCATATTTAATTAAATCTACGATTTCATAGGGTAATTGCGCATCTAGCTCAGAATTATGATTTCAGTCCATGCGTTACAACCATGTCCCGTCACCCCCGAACCCTACCTTTTACAAATTTTCCGTGTCCTGACTCTGCGTCAATAGCCGTATCCGTGCAACTTAGTTTTCAGCCCCTTTTAGATATCTTTGTCTTTTAACGCTAGTATATCAATTTAAAGGCTAAATTTTTTCCACTCTTTTTTCCGGTAATGATCTTACTGTCTCTAATCCTAGTTGGTTGTTAGAAATATGCATTTTTAGGATGAACGAGGTGTAGCTTTAGTAGACAGCAACACTTATCTATGGTTCCCACATGGGGTAGGCACTAAGAAGGCAAATACTTGCAAGAAACTAAGATCTTCCATGCAAGCTGGATCTAGAGAAAGCATCTTAAATGCTTACTTTGTTCATTACTTGAAAAGATGTTTTGCAGCAAAGAGACTGTCATTCAGTTTAAATCTTTTCATTGGATATTCAACCTCCATTGTTTAATGGATTTACTTGTATTCTTGAGCTGGTTGTGACCTTATTTCTCTGGTTTCTCAGCCTCTGTATTTTCTAGCAATTAAACTGGCTGTTTATGTCTCATGTTTTTTTATTGCTTTGACAAGTTTTGGTTATTTTGTTTTTCTTTTATATTCCCTTCTTTGTGATATGATAACCTTGATTTTGCAATATTCTTTATTTCTCCAATATGATCCTTTGGGATAATGACCTTTATCTCTAATCTGCAATCATCCATTGTCCATTACCCATATGAATTGAATACTCAGCTTTTGTATACTGTTTCACTACAGAGTCACCATTAAGGCACTCTCTGGGGTCTGGCATGTCTTTTGATGGAGTAAGTGATACTGGAAGCTATCAACATAGGCAAATGGTAATTAATCACACGACAGTACTCTTCATTGTCTGGATTTATTAGTTTTCTTTTGATAACCTTTGACCATTTTTTTTCAGGGATTTTGTGGAAGTTTGTATGGTCAAAGCCTGGACATTGTGTGGACTGGTATTTCATGGACTTGTGGCAAGCAGCTCAGGCACTACCAAGCTTTTTCTCGTAATGGGATCACTATTGGTGTAAGCATCGTTATGATTATTATTTTAAATCTTATCTGTTCCGTCTCAATTTTCTCAAAAGATTATTCTCACTGTGCAGACCCATTCTTTTGTTCTTGTAATGTCTGAAGGGGAGAATCGCTATCTTGCTTATTTGGAAGATATGTATGAAGACAAGAAAGGGCAGAAGAAGGTTAAAGTGCGCTGGTTTCATCAAAATCAGGAATTTGCTTGTAAAATACCCCGACCAACTCCACATCCATGTGAAGTCTTCATCACGCCGTACTCTCAAGTCATCAGTGCTGAGTGTGTGGATGATATTGCTACTGTTCTAACACCTGATCACTATGAGAAATGCTTGGCGACACTTCCCTACTCCTCTTGCAAGCAGAATTCGATTTTGCTTTCGACAGTACAGTAAAAATAAATTCAAACTCTTTGACCTCAGAACTTTGCGGGGATATTTTAATCAGGTAGTTCTTTCATGCATAGACATATGCAGTGCATCGGGGGATGAGGACGAGTTTGGTCATGAGAGCACCATAAAGCGAGGAAGTTCCAAAAGGATTAGATTTGTCAAGGGTGCACAGAAAAGTTATCTCACTCACCGTCTTGGTGTTACGGCATTGGGTCATGCGAACCACATTAGCAATTGCAAGATGGTCTATCAGAACTCAAGCTATGACTTAAGCATCAGGAGACCTCTTTCAGTAAAATTTATAGGACCCCAGAATTATGTGGGACTACCTTTCAATATTGATGATAAGGTTGAGTTACTTTGTCAAGACAGCGGCATCAGAGGCTGCTGGTTCAAGTGTACAGTTTCACAATTGTCGCAAAAGAGGCTGAAGGTTCGGTACGATGATGTGCGGGATGAGGATGGTTGTGGAAATTTAGAGGTAAAAATATAAAGATAAAAAAGTGCAAGGACTAACTGTTAAAAATTCGTGCTAATTACATGCAAAATACGCAACGGAAGATTGTATGTATAATAATACTAAGCATATAGAGAGCATGAAATACAAGCTAGGACCATCCTAATTAAATCTAACATGATCCCTATAATAAAAAGAGCAATCAAAAGCTTTGAAGGCTTACTTTCGTAGCGTGATTTGATGGTAGATCGATCAACCCCTAGCTCGTTCTCCTTGTTGTAAACCTCCTTGTAGTGGATCTCCCAGTCTTCAAGCGAGCTTGATAAAACGGAGTCTTCTTGAGACACAAGGCAAGATATCCACCCGAGGTACTTTAAAATCCTACTACTCCCTCTTACTTAAAGATTGCTAGAGTTTAATAAGAGATAGAGCTCTCTTTCATTCTCTTATGAAAAAAATTACTTAGCCAATTTTTCATTAATCTCTTCATAAGAGAGAGCTCATATATATAGAGTGAGATATGTCATGACATCAAATCCATCTGGTTAAGACATATATGCACTCTTCTAAATCACCATTTAGAAATACAGTTTTGACATCCATTTGTCAGATCTCGTAGTCATAGTGAGTAGCTCTAGCAAGTAGGATCCAAATAGACTTTAGTATAGCCACTGGAGAAAAGGTTTCATCGTAGTCCAAACCAGGTCTTTGACGAAAACCTTTAGCTATTAGTCTAGCTTTAAAAATCTCTACTTTCCCATCTACACTCAACTTTTTTTTAAACAACCATTTGTAACCTATGAGTATCACCCCTTTAGGAGCATTGTTTAAGATCCATACTTTATTGGTGTACATAGTGTCTATTTCGGACTTCATTGTATCTTGCCAAGCAACAGAATCCCTACTCTGAGAGGCTTACTGATAACTCAAAGGTTTGTCATCATCTATGACGTGATCTAACATGCTACCTTCAACGAGAAAATCATATTGTTTCTTAGGTGCATGGGATTGCCTTGGATATCTGCGGAGTGGTTGAGGTTCTTCTGGTACAACTGAATTTTTTGGTTCTACTAAATTATCAGTATTAATTTGTATTTCTGAAATTTCTTTCAGTTCTACCATGCTCCCACTAATTTCTTTTTTAAGAAATTCCTTCTCCAAGAAGGTAGCATAACAAGAAACAATTGTTTTTTGTTCATCAATGTGGTAGAATTGATATTTATGGGAGTTCCTTGGATATCCTACAAATTTACACAATACTGAGCGTGCCTTTAATTTTTTGGGATCTTGTTTTTTTTACATAAGCATGACATCCCCAAATTTTAATATAATTAATATGTGGTTTTATCCCATACCATATCTCATATGGAGGTTTAGGCACTGCTTTAGTAGGAACCTTATTCAGTAAGTGTGCTGCTGTTTTCAACGCATACCCCCAGAATAAAAAAAGTAACTTAGCATTACTTATCATAAAACATATCATATCTAATAGGGTACGATTCCTCCTTTCTGACACGTTAAGCTGTGGTGTAAAGGGTAGAGTAACATAAGAGATAATCTCATTCTCTTTTAAAAACCCTAAGAATTCTGAGCTCAAGTATTCACCTCCTCGATCCGATCGGAGAATTTTAACTTTCTTGCTCGTTTGGTTTTTTACTTTATTTTTATACTTGATAAATTTCTCAAATGCTTCATACTTGTGTTTCATCAAAAACACATGTCGAAATCTTGAAAAATCATCAGTAAAAATAATAAAGTAGCAGTAGCCACCTCTGGCCATTGTAGATATAGGACCACATACATCACTATGTATCAGTCCTAAGAGTTCTGTAACTCTTGCTCCTGTTCCCGTAAATGGAGTCTTGATCATTTTACCTTTAAAACAAGACTTGCAAGTATCATAAGACTCAAAGTCAAATGAATCTAAATATCCATGCTTATGTAGCTTGCCAAGTCTTTCTTTATTTATGTGACCAAGTCTACAATGTCATAAAAGAACGTCATTCATAACCGATTGTTTTCTTTTATTAGTGTGATGAGTATTCAGAATTGTGTTTTGATTAAGAATATAGATGCCATTACACAATGTTCCATAAGCAATCAACTTTTGATTATATATGATATTCATAACATTGTTCTCCAACTTGAACATATATCCATCTTTATCTAATAAAGATATATATCACATCATAGTTGGTACAAAATAACAGCTATTTAAAATCAAAATGTTTTTATTTGGTAAAGCTAGATAAAAATCCCCAACTGTAACTGCTGTAATTATTACACCATTATCAACTTGTAGGGTCATCTCTCCAGCACCAAGCTTTCTATAACTTCTCAGTCCTTGTAACAAATTACAGATGTGAAATTCTGATCCGGTATCTAATATCCAAGATGTAGGATTTATAAAAAAATAATTCTGAGTAACAGAGTAACCAACGCAATTGAAGATGAAGCAACAACTTGTTTGTTCTTGTTGAGTGAGGCTAGGAATTCAGGACAGTTCATTTTCCAATGTCCTGACTTGTGACAATGGAAGCATTATGTAGTCGTTATTTTTGCATTCCCTTTGTCCTTGACAGCCTTCTTAACATCTTTCTTTGGTTTAGTAGTTTTTTTTATTTCTTTTTTCTTGGCAACCAGTTTGCTAGAAGTGGAAGAAGATTTTCCTATAACCAAGGTTGGTGTTTGTCCCTTTTTCATAGAATTTTTCTTCTGTCTTAACAAATTAAGCAAGACAGGAAGAGTGAGCTCCAAATCCATCATCAAGAACTGTGATATGAATCAGGAGTTGACGGGTGTCGAGGACTGCAGAACGATATCTGTATATCTATTTGCATCTAGGCCTGTGTTTAAAAGTTCAAGTTCATTGACATAGGCGATCATTTGGAGAACGTGATCCCCAACAGAAGATCCTACAATCATTTTCGTCTGGAACAAATTCCTAGACGTCGCGTACTTCATTTGTCGCAGTTGCTCGCCATACAATTTTTCTGTATTACGAAATATAGATCTGACATCCATATTCTCATGTTGCCTCTGATGGACCAAATCCATAGAGGCATGTATTACGAAATATAGATCTGACATCCATATTCTCATGTTGCCTCTGATGGACCAAATCCATAGAGGCAATTGTGAGGCATTGAGTCCATATTCTCATGTTGCCTCTGATGGACCAAATCCATAGAGGCAATTGTGAGGCATTGAGCAAGTGAATAATCTCTATCCCACTTTATGCTGATTTTATTGTCTGTTACAGTGGGTTCTGGGCCTATAACGGGTTCCGGCGTTGTGAGGACATATGTTACTTTGTCATAAGTTAGGATAATTTTAACATTCCTCAATCAGTCTTTGTAGTTAGGACCGGTTAACTTGTTCTGTTCTAGTATGAGTTTTAAGCCAGATATAATGACCTGAAAGAGAAAAATATTTTAGCAGATGTTCAATACATAAAATAGATTTGATTCATTTTTTTATCTAAGTTATGCCTCCTACTATTTTTTGAGTCCCTCAAAATCTTTATAAGAGGTGATCAGAAAACAACCCCTTGTTTTCAAGTAGGATCAAGATCCAATTATCATTGAATGTATCAATCTTGACGATGACCAACAAATCGATATACTCGATAATTGGTAGATAATTTTTATCTTTTACATTCTTGTAATTCTTGATATGATTTTGCCCCTAGTCTGTTATGACTTTGACGATGACCAACAAATCATAAAATGCTAGTTAAGTTTGGACCCATCATTTCTTGACAGGCTTAAATTTAACTTATGCATACTTTTGACGAAGGCCAACAAAGTTGTATAACCAACTTAAGCTATCGTTTTATCTTATATACAGATGAATACTATTTAGCCATAGAATAGTATTGTCTTGACGATAGCCAACAAACAAAGTATTTATAAGCTTAGTAGTATTCAACTGAAATGATGGAGGGCTACAGACGATTTCATAAATCTTTTACCGTAATCAAACTTGATATAGTTTAAAGATGCTCTATATTTATACTTGCAACAATTAAACTAGCCAGGTAAGTGCAAGATTGATGTGAGAGTTCCGAGATATTCACTGGGAATATTCATCGAACCTTAATTAAGTAACCACCGTTTTTTAAGACTATAGTGCGAAAGATTGGGCATCACCCCTAATCTTTGGTTGGGCATCACCCCATGAGCTATATCTCATAATTATTTTTCTTGACACTAGTTAAAAGTTTATTTTAAATATATTTTTTGTAACTGTTTTAGGTTTATTTATCTTTCACACTAACGCTATGTTAATATCGGTCTCACCACTCTATGGTCAATAAACTATTATTGTCATGTCTCACAAAGTTTAAAATCGTTATTCACTACCATCCATAAACATATCATCCACGCAGGATGATATAAAACATATAACTTAATCAACATTAAGAAATATGCATCTATCTAGTTATGCACTTAATCAACATTAAGAAATATGCATCTATCTAGTTATGCAACAAATTGGAAAACTAGATAACATAGGGATTATCCTAACTCAAATAGGACTACCATGCTTCTAACATACAACTACACCAGTTGTAAATAAGTGTTTTGCAATTTATACAAGTATTTTTACTCTTAAAAACTTATGAACCAAAAATAACATTTTTGAATCAACAACTAGTATAACTAATTACAAAACAACTTGTATTATTTAACTAGTTTCATCTACACTAGTAATTAGAAGCAAGAATAAAGTCCTCCATGAGTTAGATGTGCATGTTAAGATTTAATTAGATGGAACCATGGTTTTGATATCATGTTGGAAATTTGTGCTAATTACATGCAAAATACACAACGAGACTATGTATAATAATACTAAGCATGTAGAGAGCATGAAATACAAACTAGGACCATCCTAATTAAATCTAACATGATCCATATAATAAAGAGAGCAACCAAAAGCTTTGAAGGTTTACTTTCGTTGCGTGATTCGATGGTAGATCGAACAACCCCTAGCTCGTTCTCCTTGTTATTGTAAACCTCCTTGTAGTGGATCTCTAAGTCTTCAAATGAGCTTGATAAAATCGGATTCTTCTTGAGACACAAGGTAAGATATCCACCCGAGTTACTTTAAAATCCTACTACTTTCTCTTACTCAAAGATTGCTAGAGTTTAGTAAGAGATAGAGCTCTCTTTCATTCTCTTATGAATAAAATCACTTAGCCAATTTTTCATTAATCTCTCCATAAGAGAGAGAGCTCATATATATAGAGAGATATGTCATGACTCATCTCATGAGTCATGCCATGAGTCATCTAAATGTAATAATTTCTTTCATGAGTCATGTAATGACTCATCTCATGAGTCATGCGAAGAGTCATGAAGAATCAAATCTATGTGCTAAAACCATATTTCCAAACCATACCACATTATTGACTCATCTCATGACTCATTAATTAAGGTATAATAAAATGTGTATTTCATAAATGAAAACACTACATCAATACGGTGTTTTATAAATACGGTATTGCGTAATTTTCCAATCATTAACTAATAAGTCATCATATGACCAAAAAATCAATGAGTTGACCAAAAGTCAACCGGTTGACCAAAAGTTAACTTTATTGGAAAAAATACTGAAATTCATTTATTAAGCATATAACATTCTGATTTTACTGATACATATAATCGTTTATGTGTATCCGGTGAAAATTATATATGCATATCAATCATACACATTTAACTCTATAAATTATATTTCATAGGATTCAAGTACGCGCTTGGTGTGACTCTAGGGCCTAACTTAAGACTCGACAGTGAATCATATCCACAAATACAACAGAGGTACTAGCTACACATGAAGACTTCCCAAGTATAAGTTATGATAAATATTTGCAAGATGCTTACATAATTTTATCAGGACCACTCAGTGATAACATTGTACAGTCTGGTCTCTTCGTCAAACAATGCCAAACTATCGAGTCTAGGGTATGGTAAACTGTCAAACCCTAATAGGTTGATTAGTGTTTGTTGATATTAAAGTCATAACCTTTTAAGATCACTGACACTCGGTTTATCTTATTTACCTTGACCAATGATTTTTTGGCTATAGTTATATCAAACAATCTTATGACATCAATCTCCTATACTGGGAGAGACGAATCCCATCTTGGCATCTCAATATCTACTTATGTCTCGGGATGCACCCAACAAGAACCGTTATGCACAACTCAATAAGAACTGTGGTTAGGTAAAATTATAAGTACACCTATACTGACATGTAAGATATTGCACTCATGCCTCAGGTCAAGAGACTACTTTGTACTATATCACTTGAGAACTTTTATTTGACAGTTAAGTATAATTACCAACTAGACGTTCTCAGTGAGTCATTCAGTCAACTCATTCACTAATGAGTTACTTGTATACTATATCTTGATGTCTCACATCAATGATCCAAGAGATGGATTATCATCCTACCAAAAGAGAAATAGAGTATACACTAGTCTTCCCAAAGTGATAATGTCCTATTTCTACACTTCATTGACTAGGAACTTTTTAGAATATACGTTAGCGACAAATCAGATCTCTTCATTACGATCATATCCGAAATATCTGATAGTCTAGTATCATTCTAAGAACTTTATCTGTATTAAAATATCAGGTAAATCTGTGCAGGACACCTATATCTAACGCTAACGTAGCTTCACTGTTTTAAAAACCTCCGCCTAGTCCGCTTAGGCGTTCGCCTAGGCCTAGGCGGCACCTAGACCGTCTAAATAGCACCTAGCGCCTAGGAGGTATTTAAGCTGCCCACCTAGATTTTACGAGCGTTTAGGGGAGCATTGCCTACTTACGTGGATTGCACCCTGTAGGTCTTAGTTGTGATTTTATGTGTTATAGCCTATACGTCCTCCAAACTCCATTAACCTCCAAATATGAATACCTCCACTACCTCCTCCGACCTTCAACAAAACCTCATCGACCACCACTTAAATGAAGAAAGAAATCCGCCTAGACACCAGTCCGGCATCTAAGCTTTCTGTAACATTGACATTCACTATCAATTATTATAATTAAAAATAAAAAATGATAACATCTTAGGCTCTAGCCTTGTTAATTGTTATTTTGGCTATTTAGTATCTAAGTATGTATGATTTATTGTGGAACTAAAAATGCTATCTTTTTTTGAAAATTTATATGAATTTTATACATATTTGTAATTTGAGTTGAGATGAACTTATAATTTGAGTTGAGAAGTATAAACATACAAAGAGCTATTGTAATTGATAAACCAAGCAATTTAGTTAATTGTATTGGTATTTTAGTATTTATGCATCTTTGATTGAGTATATATATATATATTTATCTTCAAGTATCACAATTAAAAAAAGAAAAAAAAACGCCTAGAAACCGCTTAGGCGCCCGCCTAGACGACTAAGCGTTGGGCGCCAAGTCTGACGCCTAGAAGCACCCAGCGTTTAATGTAACATTGCGTAGCTTCATGCATGTACACAAATGTGTACAATGTACACACATACAGACATGAGAATGCATTTATATATACTGCTGCTGTTCTGAGAATCAGTACTTTGTTACTTTTTTTTGAAATGAGGAATATGATAGAGATAATGAATCGATACATGTTAGTGTTGGAAAAGCTTTTTGTGGTATCTGGCAATTGCTAAATTAAGACGTTCTAAACGTAAGAAGATCGTGTAGTGCCTATCTAAATGTTCGTCATCTGGGTATGGTAGGTAGTAAACGTTGGCAAGATTATCTATCTGTATGAAAAGCTTGTTGGGCTTTGGGTGGGGTGTTTGACACAATCTCATTTACTGTGAAATATGGAATATGCCCTGAAAATGTGATGTATACAAGTGTAGGAAGATCTTTAGTTGCTTACTATTTCCTGTTGCTCATTCAGCCATGGAATGTTAAAGGGATCATTTATGATAAATGACAATATATTATACTAAAAAGTGTAGTTTTCAGTTATTACCTTCTTCATCGATTGCTCTTTCTGGCAACCCATCTATTTCTTCGAGTCATAAGAAACATTATTTTAGAGTAGAAAGGTGTAATATAAAGAGATTTCTTCTCCATTCTTCTCCACAAATTCATCTTTTTGGAATTTGACTGCTGAACTCTTCTCTATGCGTTAGGAAATGAGTAAACCTAATTTGGTCTTGACAACTATTTTGATGCAGGAATGGGTTCTTGCCTTGAGAAAGGCAGCTCCTGATAAGCTGGGTATGAGATGTTCAGGACGCCTCAATATTCGACCATCTCCCTCAATTGATTGTCTTCTGGAAAATGCTGCTTTGGAGATTGGAACCCCTGTGGATGCTTGGTGGAGTGATGGGTGGTGGGAAGGCGTTGTAACTGGAGTAGAGAGCTCTGGAGATGACAGTGTACAAGTCTATTTTCCAGGTATAGCTACTGTTTCTTCTAATTGAGCTATAAAAATGTTTATCTTTTCATTAGATTAAAGCTGTGAGTATACCCTAACATCAGTTTTGACTTATGTACAAGCAAGAGCAGCTAATCGGACATATTAAGTTAACTGATATGAACCATTATCTAACATTAAGTGTGTCTTCGACAATTCTGCATAACAAAAATCCTAAGTCAATCTTAATTGAGAAAATTTACTAATCCATCATGAATAAGTAAATAGTATATGCCTTTACATGGGCTACAATATCATGGGCTAATGTTTGAATGATCAGTAGATATGTATCTTTTGGTTTCATGCAAATATGGTGTTGTTTGTAGTAGTTGCTCTGAGTACTGCGATCAGCTATTGCTGAAACTCATGATGTATTCTTGCTTTTTCTGCATAATCGAACTGAGTTTAACAGCATGCTGTCATGGCAAGATCACACAGATAAAAATCAGCAGAGAAGCACCACTAAAAGTATTGGAATTTATTGATCGAATACAAGTGGAATGAAAGTCTTAATAAAGTCTTCTAGCATTTGAAGGTTGCCAACATTAAGCTATGAACTATCTCTGCCCACATAAGCTAAAGACGACACAGATTTACATACCTCTGATTTTCAGACTCCTCTCATTAGTCTGAACCTTTTAATATTCCTATATTTCACTGTAAGAAAACACACCAATCTTGGCCAGACTTGTGAACCAATTGAATATGTGCCAAGTATAATTAGGTTAGCCTTTACATTGGAGCTTGTATTATTAAGTCAATCGCGGAGTTAAACTTGTTTTTGTGTCAATGCTTCCTCATCAAAGCATGATGTCCTCAAGGTCGTCATGAATATTTAGTTTTAGGCCAGGCTATTACATTCTCTTCCACAAAATCTTCTGTCTCACCCTTCGCTAGCAATTTCCTTCTGAATCCTTTGATTGCAAGAGCTGCTGCCAGTCAAACTTTTTGGACAGAACAATGCTGATTAGCTTGACTTAAAGTTTATAGTATCTGTCAGAATCAACTACAATGTGCGTGCAATGGTTTATTCAACTGTGGATAGTCATGATCAATGAGATTAAAATTGTCTGATATAGTTGTGTTAAGTTCCCACTTCCCAAGATAATATAATGCAATGCCGATCATACTTTCTTATACTTGGATATTCGTTTCATTTGAATCACTTTTAAAAAGGTTTTAATCAAATAGCAATATGGAAGACCTTTTCATTAGTGGGTTTATTTTTACTGTCCAATGACAGTAGGACACTTCTACGTGGGTATGATACCCTTGCTTTTTCATGTTTAAAAAGCATTTATTAAGGAATTTGATAGATGATCTGTGTTCTGTTTGTTTGAATTGTTTTGGTTTCACGACTCTTAAACTCTCTTTCACAAACAAACTTTTCAATTTGTAGAAAGATATAATGAAGATATTTTTATATTCATAAATAAACTTTGTATTCTGTGACATGTCTAGATTTTGTAGAATTTCCATATCTACCATCTTTTGTCCATGTCATAAACATGACATGTTTCAATAGCCGCTTGTTTGACTTCTTAATAAAGTGCATCACCATGCTAGGCTTTTTGAGAGCAGCGTCTTAGCTTCATGAATAGTAAATTTCTCTAGTCCTTCTGAAACTCCAAAACTGGAATTTGCTTGGGAAACTACCAGATTTCTAAGCTACTAAAAGTTATATAATACACAGATACTTCTTTGTGATATGAATCTACTCCACGTACTTGAATTCAACTTCCTAAATGGACGCTTAGTGTATGTTCTTATTTTTTAGCAATACAATGCTTCTTCCCAAACTCCAAATGCTTGGGGGTAATATCAGTGCCCTTTCAAATGTCCATACGCTTTTTCTCCTCCAACACCACCTGCCTCTTCTCTTCTTGCAATGATGGACTTGTTGAAATAACAAGAGAAGCTTCCACCAATAGCTCCTGGTAGTACTTCATAGTCCAAACTCTTTTAAGTTTTATGCCCGCAAATCATATTATAACATGACATGTTGTCAGCTTGTCGTGTCCCGTGAGTGTCCTAGTGCTTCCTTACGGCGTTCAATTGTGCACTGGTCGAGAATAAAAATATGAATGATGGATAAACCAGTTGAAGAAAATCCCCTTAAACTTTTTAAGAGATCATATTTCAAAAAATCCCTCTACCTTTCTTCTTGACCGTCTTCTTGTTTGTTTTTTCGGCTGCACACGTTATTAAATATAATATGCCCATTGATTTGGTCTTGGGGATCATGTGTTGTATGCTAGCTACTCTGGAGTTTAAATTCACAACGTTTTATAGCTAAAATGTTCCTGTAATCTCAGGTGAAGATATCTTCCTGATATGCCAAAGGAGAAGCTTGAGAATTTCTAGAGACTGGCTGGGGAACCAGTGGGTTGAAATCCAAGCTAAGCCAGATATACTATCAGTACTATCTCTGGTTGATGCCCAGGCAAAGCTAACTTCATGTTCAGTCCTCGCCAAGGGTGCAGAATCTGGAAGCTCGGTAATGTCAGACCGTGGACCGATGACTACGCAAACCAATTCAAACAGTGAAGATAGGCAAATAGAGGCTAGCTTGAATGAGAGTGATGATGATTTGCTAGGGAACGCGATTCAAGGGGTCGATACTAAAGATAGGTTAGATAGCGCACCAGCGATAACTGATACAATTATCGGCAAGGAGACGGAATCTGAGAGCCCTGGTATGCCCAAGTGTGAAGCAATTGCTGTTTTAGACAATTCGAAAGGCGAAGATGAGCAAACGGAGGCTAGCTTGACCGAGAGGAATGCTGATGCTTTGGTGGAAAATGCCGAGCAGTTGAACCCAAGGAAGCGGCGCAAGGATGAAGATAGTGACGAAAATCAAGATTCTGAGATTGGTATTGATGGCGCTAGTAGCAGAGGGTGACGGGCTTTCAATTTTCGCCCTCTCTATTTGTAAATAGTACTAATATATATGAGTGTCTTATAGGGGCATGAATGTCAAGTTGGGACCAATTAGTTGTATTTTGGATTCATAAAAAAGAAGTTTTATTTTGGTTTGGGGATTTTTGGAGGTGTAGAGAAACCAAGGCTGAGGAGGTGCTTCGGTATCTAGTTTAGGTTTTGGCCCCTCAGTATTAAGTATTGGTTGTGTAAATGAGGGCGCTCTCCTTCATATTATTATTTCCCCCTTGTTGCTTGTTGATGTTGGACCAAGCCCTGCAGGTTCTTATATAATTTGTAACGAGAGAGAATATTATCAATGTTAGTGCCAGGTTTATATAGAACTCAAGTTCCGTAAATCCTTTTATTTACGCGTTAGTCCTTCATATTATTATCTGATCGCAACGGGGCTCGCAGACATCTGATCATGAAAAGGCTAAAATTGCAGGCATCATTCCTATTGTTTGAGCTTTTTGCCTTTCGTAAAAAATTGAGGCTCTTCCTCAAACCTAGATTGAGATAAGCCCTTACCGTTTATCTTGCTTTTCTATTAAGCCCTCGATCTATTATTTCATTCTGTTAAGCCCCTATGGTTTTCGTTTTCGTTCTATTTCTATTTAGCCTCATGGTGGTTCTCCATATATTATGAGGAGTAATGTTCTTTTTGTCTTATGTATGTAATTCTGGAGAGAAAATAAATCTTGTTATACACGCATGTACATTCATAACAATAGTATCAAAATTTTCTTGTAACCTTTATTAAAAACTCAAGTTTAGCCTCTCAAATATATTTTTATTTTGCTGCTACATGTATGCGTAGTGAATTTTTCCATAGAGGTGCCAAATAGTTCATCAAAATAATCATGACTTAGATTTTTTTTAAAGGATTCATGACTAAGAATTTATTTAACCGATATCTTTCATGTTAACAAAAAACTGTTAGCGAAGGGTAATGTAATTTCAAGCAGGGACTTACAAGTCATCATAACTTTTATTGGAGCAACAAATTTATTAAAGAGCTAATAAATTTCAAACCATGGTTTAAATAGTCAGGAGACGTTCAACATGGGTGTCCATGTTCTTTTTTTCGGTCGAGTTCTGGACTTTCAATTTTCTTTGGCAGATGACAGTCAAAGAAATAATCACAGGACTACAATAATGTTAGTTTGGGTGTGGATCCAAACCTCGATTCAGGCAAGGTTGATCGACCGTCAGACGAGCGGACGAGGGTCGAGCTCGTGAGCGGACAAGGGTCGAGCTTTGGACGAGGTTCGAGTTCAAACAGACGAGCGGACGAGGGTTGAGCTCGCGAGCGGACGAGGGTCGAGCTTCGGACGAGGTTCGAGTTCGAACAGACGAGCGGACGAGGGTTGAGCTTCTGACGAGGTTCGAGCGGACGAGGCTGACACCCGCAGATGAGCTTCGTCGAGGCGATTTCTGCGTGTGAGCTGGCGACAGCCTGTCGCCAGCGTAACCCTAGGGTTACCTTATAAAAAGAAAACCCAAAACTCGACCTCCCTCTTCTCTTCTTTGCGCGTTCTTCTCAAACGGCGGCGGACTCAAAATCGCAGCAACGATTTTTCGTTTTCTTCCCCTTTCTTGAATTTATTCCCAGCTCTCAGAGTTTGAGGGGGAATTAAAGGGGAATTCTCAAGAGCTTTAAAGAGGGATTATTCATTTGAACTATTAATACTGTAGCTACAGTGTTTGTATTGAGAGATCTCATTTTGGGATCTGTTCTAAGATCTGTAATTTCTTATTGATTAATAAGAAATTATCTGTGTGGCTCCCGAGGACGTAGGCAGTTGCTGAACCTCATTAAATCTTGGTGTACTTTTCTCTATACTGTGTTTCTGCTGTTTTAGGGGTCGGCGTAAATTCCCAACAGCTGGTATCAGAGCGTGAAAAGATCTAGAGGAAGTCAGATTTAAGTGGGAGCCATGGTCGCAGATGAAGGAAAAATGAGACTTGAGAAGTTTGATGGAACATATTTTGGATTCTGGAAAATACAGATAGAGGATTATCTATATCAGAAAAATCTGTATCAACCACTATCGGGGAAGAAGTCGGAGTCGATGAAGGAGGATAAGTAAACCTTCTAGACAGAGAAGCCCTCGGTGTTATCAGATTGACGTTGACCCGCAATGTTGCGTTCAACATAGCGAAGGAGAAGACAACAGCGGGTCTTATGACAGCACTCTCAAACATGTATGAGAAGCCATCAGCCGTGAACAAAGTTCATTTGATGCGGCGGTTATTCAATCTGAGAATGGCGGAAGGCGCGTCAGTAGCACAATACCTCAATGAACTCAACACGGTCACAACCTAATTTAGTTCAGTTGAAATTGAGTTTGATGAGGAAGTTCGAGCGTTGATACTTTTGTCTTCCCTACTAGAGAGTTGGAACGCTACAGTCACGACAGTGAGTAGCTCGTCGGGAAGTAACAAGTTGAAGTTCGACGACGTTCGTGATCTGGTTCTCAGTGAGAAGATCCGCAAAGAGAGTCGGGTGAAGCTACAACCTCTTCAGTATTGCATACAGAGTCATGAGGTAGAAATTCAACCAGAGGGAATGGACGATGCAAATCAAACTACAGAGGTAGATCAAAGGACATGAGGTCCAAATCCAGGAATCCAAGCAACAGCTCAAAGGCTATCGAGTGTTGGAATTATGGAAAGACAGGACATTACAAGAATCAGTGCAAGAGTACACAGAAGGAAAAGGAGGCAAAGGCAGAGGTGAATGTCACTTCCACCTCAGGAGGAGACGACGCATTGATATGCTCTTTGGAGAGCAAGGAGGTGAATGTCACTTCCACCTCAGGAGGAGACGACGCATTGATATGCTCTTTGGAGAGCAAGGAGGAATCTTGGGTAGGAGACGACGCATTGATATGCTCTTTGGAGAGCAAGGAGGAATCTTGGGTGTTAGATTCAGGAGCGTCGATCCATGCCACTTCTCAGAAAGAATTCTTCGAGAAGTATGTTCCCAGAAATCTTAGATACATATACCTTAGTGATGATCAACCGTGTGCTATTATGGGCAAAGGTGTGGTGAAAATTAAGTTAAACGGGTCAGTATGGGAGCTGAATGATGTCAGACATATTCCCGATCTGAGAAAGAACTTAATATTGGTAGGCTAGTTGGCTGGTGAATGATACACCACGACTCTCCATGTAGAAGATTGGAAGATCTCAAAGGGCGCAATGACGATTGCCAGAGATAAGATGACTAGTACCCTGTATATGACAGTAAGTGCACGTTGTTTGATCTCAGTTGCAGTAGGCAATGAGACTTCAAAGTTGTGACACCAGAGACTCGGTCATATGAGTGAGAAGGGGATGAAAATCATGCATACAAAGGGAAAACTCTCATGACTACAGTCAGTGGAGATGGATATGTGTGAAGAATGCATACTTGGAAAGCAGAAGAGAGTTAGCTTTCAGACAAGTGGCAGAACCCCCAGGAAGGAGAAGCTAGAGCTCGTTCACTCAGATGTTTGGGGACCAACCACCACAGCGTCCATTGATGGTAAACACTACTTTGTGACTTTTATTGATGATCACTCTCGGAAAGTGTGGATCTATTTTCTGAAGCATAAGTCAGAAGTATTTGAAGCTTTCAGGAGATGGAAAGTTATGGTCAAGAATGAGACCGGTCTGAGAATAAAGAAGCTTAGGACGGATAATGGTAAAGAGTATGAAGACACCGGATTCAAGAACTTCTGCTATGAGCACGGGATTAGAATGGAGAGAACCGTGCCCGACACGTCTCAGCAAAATGGTGTAGCTGAGCAGATGAACCGAACATTGACAGAGAGAGCCAGAAGCATTTGGATACAGTCAGGCCTACCGAAGCAGTTCTGGGCAGAAACAGTCAAGTTTTTTGTTGTGTAGCTTATGTGCATATTAGTGATCAAGGCAGGAATAAACTTGATCCTAAGTCTAAGAAATACACTTTCATCGGCTATGGTGAAGATGATTTCGACTACCGCATTTGGGATAACGAAAACAAGAAAGTGATTCACAGCAGAGATATGATATTCAACGAGAAGGTGATGTATAAGGACATGCACAAGACAGATGACTCAGAGAGTGAGTCAATATTTATAGATACAGATAATGTCCCGAGTAACCTCTCGAAAAAACCTAATGCAGAAGGTCCTCAGCCAGAAGAGCCTATTGGACAGAACAGTGCGCAGGAGCCCGACGCACCAACTCTAATATTAAGAAGATCTTCTCGGCCTCCTATGCCTAACAGGAGATATATAAATTATCTGTTGCTGACAGATCGTGGGGAGTCTGAAAGCTATGATGAAGCTTGTCAAAGTGGAGATGCGAGCAAGTAGGAGCTTGCCATGAAAGATGAGATGAAGTCTTTCAAAGGATTCCAGCAGAAGGAAGGAATTGACTACAACGACATTTTTTGCTCCCGTGGTGAAGCTAAATACTATTAGGACAGTGATGAGTATATTGTAGCTATTGAAGATCTTTATCTTGAGTAGTTAGACGTGAAGACGACGTTTCTTCACGGAGATCTAGAAGAGGAGATATACATACACCAGCCAGAAGCTTTCTCAGAAGAAAAGAAGAAGAACCTAGTGTGCAGACTCAAGAAAATCTTGTATGGCCTGAAACAAGCCCCAAGACAGTAGTATATGAAGTTGTTAGACCCTAGAGGGAGTGATTAGGGTCTTATGCTAATCTAATCTGATTTTATGCTAATTAAAATTAATTAATTAATTATTCTTGCAAGATAGATATACAATATGTTATGAACAAGAATATGCAATATGAACAAAGAGATATATCCTATATGGTGAAATATATACAAGGATATATAAATACACGTGTAAATTAAATGTGACACAATAAAGAGATGAAAGCGATATATGATGTGAGCACAAATAAAGATGAACGCCAAGCAAACACAAACACAATATGTTCACGAGGTTCGGTCCCCACGATCTATGTTCCCGCTCCTCACCTTGAGGATATCTCCACTATCACAACCCGGTTTGAAAGCCAGAACTTCTACACACTCGGTTTACAAGCTCACCGAAAACTCGCATAATCAATCACTATGCAACCACACTATATACACTAAGTGTTAGTCTCTAGCCTGTGTCCTCCTTCTCAAATGCTCGGATACAATTTTTTCCTAGGTTCGTCAACCGACGCCACTCCTATTGGATTTTACCCCGACTCTCACCACACATTACTCTCGGTGTACAAGTGTATTACAAGTGATACTCATAATATAACTTCAAATACAATGTTTTATTCACTATAATGAATGAGAACACAATGAAGCTCACTCTCATTAATTCACACACCAATACCC